GAGCGAACGCTGGAAAGCATTCTGCGAATCTCTAGACCCTCATAAACCGCTGTCATATATCTGGAGAACAGTTCGTGGTCTTCGCTCCTCTCCACAACAACGGCACCCTTTTAAAGATTTGGCACTCCATCAGGGAAAAACAGAACTCGAGGTGGCTGAAGAATTTTGCACGAGAGTTTCCGGGAATATTGTGAACGAGAGCATCGACGCGGTGATCGTTCCTGAGACGCGATTACCAGAAATGGACATTCCGTTCACCATGGAAGAACTGGAAGGTGCGTTAGTCGCTTCTAAGCGCATGTCATCGCCAGGTCCTGATGGTATTACTTATAGTGCGTTGGGACACCTTGGACAAAAAGCTAGAAAAGAACTTTTAACATGCTTCAACAACTCCTGGCTCAGCGGCAGTGTTCCCCGAGAATGGAAAATTAGTCGATTAATACCACTTTTGAAATCGGGAAAATCACCATTGGACTTGACAGCGTATCGCCCTATTGCCCTCGCAAGCTGCCTCGGAAAAGTGATGGAAAGGATGGTTCTATTTCGTCTCGAGTGGTACTTGGAACGATACACCAAATACCCTTCTTGCATGGCAGGCTTTCGTCGGGGCCGCTCCTCCATTGACTGCGTCCTTGATTTGTCGACATTTGTTCAACAAGAAAAAAGTCACAAGCGCATATCAGTGGCACTCTTTCTTGACGTGAAGGGTGCATATGATAATGTAGCTCACGATGCCATCCTCACTTCTCTCGCAGCGATGGGCGTTGGTGGACGAATGTTTCAATGGATAAAAGATTATATAACTGGAAGAGGTTTCTTTGTACAAACATATGAGGGTACAACTGCCCAACATTACACCTACTGCGGAGTACCTCAGGGACGTGTTTTAAGCCCCACATTGTTCAATGTTGCCCTCATTGGTCTGGTGAAGGTTCTACCAAAGTTGGTGTGCCTATCCATATACGCCGATGATATTTGCCTCTGGAGTGCTGCAGTTACTCGCCCTCAGGTGCGTGCACGAATATAGCGGGCAGCAACACTCACAACAGCCTACCTTCAGAAACAAGGCCTAAATATATCAACTGTGAAGTGCGCGTTGATGGCGTTTACACGCAAACCAATGACGCCATACCCTGTTTACATCAATGGGCAGAGTGTCAAATATGCACGGACGCATCGTTTCCTGGGCATAATAATCGACAGAAGTCTTTCGTGGAGCCCACATTGTGCGTACTTGAAGAAGAGACTGCTATCTATTGTGCATATCATGAAATTCTTGTGCGGTAAAGCATGGGGAACTTCTGTGGCCTCCATGCTACAGCTGTACAGGGCCCTATTTTTGGGTCTATTGCGCTACAGCTTGCCGGTACTAACTAACACTTGCAAATCGAATACTCATTCATTGGAGAGTTTGCAGGGTCAGGCACTGCGTATCTGCCTAGGACTGCCCCGATGCGCTTCTACTTATGCCACAATCATGCTTGCCAAAGACCATCCGGTCAGGACATATATAGCTGTGGATTGCCTCAGAGCGCACATTCGACATGCTAGCCGTGTCCCCGACCACCACTTGGCCCTTCTACCTTCCGGAAGACCACGTGCTACGTTTTCAGACGTCATAGCCAAGCACCTAAACAACATTCCATCAGGATATACGCCAGCTGCGAGAACGGCATGCCCTTTGTGGTGCCTCGACCAGCCGCAAGTACGTCTAGAAATTCCGGGAATCAAAATGAAAAGCAGTCACTCCAGAGTAGCATTGAAGCAAGCAACACTGCTATTATTACATGAGTTGTACTTAGACCGAACGCAGATATACACTGCTGGGTCCGTCTCATCCAGCAGCTCATCAAGTGCCGCTGTAATTCCGGCTGCAGAAATGACAATCAAATTTAAGTTGTCACATATGACTACATCTACGGCATCAGAGCTTGCTGCTATAAGGGCTGCTTTACAATATCTCGTTCAAGAACGTCCAGGAAAATGGGTCATATTCTGTGATTCGAAGGCAGCGCTTCAGAGTTTGCAGTCTGCCATGCGTAGGAGGAGCCATGACCAACTGGTACAAGAAATAAGACATTGCCATCATGAAGCTCTAGCACGAGGGCATGATATTATATATCAATGGCTGCCTGGACATATCGGTATTACCGGAAATGACCTAGCCGATGATGCAGCCCGCTCAGCCCATGAAGAAACCCGTGTAGTCCCGATTCCTCTATCAAGGAATGATGCAGCAAGACAACTTTACCTGCTGGCTCGAGATCTCACACGCACGTTCTGGTCGTCTACCAGCTTCCAAGGTGTCAATTTTATGAACTGGATCCTTCGCTAAGGCTGAAGCTACCATCACAACTTTCCCGCTCCGATGCGACACTGTTATGCCGCCTTTGGTTGGGTGTTGCATTCACAAAGGTGTACTCCTTTCGCATTGGTATGGCAGACACTCCTACATGCGACTACTGCGGAGATGAAGAAACCATCGAACACGTCCTCTGCAGCTGCGCTTGCTACGACACACAGCGATGCCAGCTACGGATGGTTTTGAATCGACTTGACCCCGGACCATTTTGTGTGCGGAAGATACTAGGACCTTGGGCATCTGCCTCAGTTGCGCAGAAAGCAACTAAAGCACTGCTTCTTTACCTTAAGTCAACAAACCTGAGCGACCGACTGTGAACTGTGTGTGCTCACCGAGTGTGCTCGTGATTGTGTGTACCTTCTCATCTTTGTGCAACCTCTTTTCTCCCCTTTATCCCTTCCCCAGTGCAGGGTAGCAAACCGGATGTGCGTCTGGTTAACCTCCCTGCCTTTCCTTGTATCTTTATCTCTCTCTCTCTCTCTCTGTATAAGCACACTTGATCAAATGAAGTGCAATTAACACGAAAACAAATGGAGAGACAAAGAAGAGGAAATGATTCATCCTGTGTGTCTCCTTTTTTGTTGTCCCTTTCATGGCACTCCATTCCATCAAATATGCATCACCAACTGGTCCAAACCTCAACTGTTCTATAAAACAGTAGAGACACACAGGAATACCATTTCCTTTTGTGTGTCTCTTCCTTTGTTTTCTCGTTAATTGCGCTTTGTTTGACCAAGTATGCTTATACTTGTATCTACCATTGTTTCAAGGCTGTTTTTATGTGTTTCGCCGCCCTCCCAGGGGTATAGCTTGACCTAACACTCATAGTTGAGAAGTGTTCATAAACAACTTTAAAAAGGGTTTAACATCTCTTTACACCCTAAGTTTATAGGGTGTTTCTAAACACTCTACAAGGGTATTGCCCGTGGAACAAACATACACCCTTAAGGGTGTAAACCTTTTCCAGCGCACTGAAAACCTGCGCATTCAATGGCATGTGATGATGTCCATGGAGGTCAGACAAGAAGTGAGGACATTGACGAGGTACAAGCGATAAATGGTACAAATTTTCGGAAAATTGCAAATGTGGCCCCAGAAGAACTTAGCTACGAGTGGCTACGCGAAAACCCTGCGTCACCATTGACGCACATTCTACGCATCTCTTAGTGGCTTGCCGACCGTACAGTGATATCGCCATTTCGCACCACACAGCTTCACAAGTCGCAAACTTTCTTATAGCGAAATTACTCTGATTATCTTGTTCATAATTTTCAATGACGCTATTGCAAACTGTGATAACTAATCAAAGTTTATCTGACCACCATGGCCAGGATTGAAAGCGCGACCTCCGGGCCAGCAATCGAGTACCGTGACGGCTAAACCACCGCAGTGGATGGTCGTGTACATCATATTATTCATTTATTTAGGTTTTCAGAAACAGTTAGCAAAGATGCGAACTCAAGCTGTGCAACACGCATTGTGCGTTGTGCGTGATACTTGATTTTGTACGTCTTTTATAAATGTCTTTGAGAAACGTACAGAGCGTTGGCTCAATTAAATTGTCTTTCTTAAGATGCTTCAGTTCAGAAAGTCTCTTAGCAATTTAGCCTGTCTATTCTATTTCTCCCCCAATTTCTTCTGAATCTTGAGCACCTAAGAAGATTATTGCTGGCAGTGATTTTGGTTTTTCCGGACGTCTTCATACACTAGCTCGAAACTGTTCATATCTATAATGACTCCACCAAATAGCAGTGACGTCAAGTCTCTATCTGCATACTAACAAACCATCAATACTCCCTGATGGGCTGGCAACATTTTTTTAAAAATACCTTTTTAGAATTGAATGCGGAAACGGCAGCAACGAAAGTGCGTCCTCACTTTCTTCGAAAACCCGCAGGGTCAGACGAAAATACAATCGGGCGAAATATATTCAAAAGGACTGGAGGAACCGCAGCGTGTCCTTACAGAATTGGGTGTTTTTCAAGCAGAGCCGTATTACTTGTGTGCGTGCATTCTGATGAACGATCATATAGCCAGCTGACTACCCGTACACCCGTCGAACGCACTGCACTTATCAGTCGGTGTTCGCTGTAAAACCTTGGTGGTGATAATCCATAACGTCTTGTTCTTTTTTTATATCGTCCTGGTTTTGTATGCCGTGCGTTATACGTCACCGTGCCAATTTTGAAATATTGAGGCCCATACGCCACGTGCTGCGAAATACGGTAATCTAGAAGCAACGCCCCTAATTCTTGGGTATGACAAAGTGATAGCTTGAAACATTAGTGCCATATACTATTGTGTCGTGCGGGCTTTCGAAATATTTGTGCAAGTAATTTTTCAGCATTTGTCCTCCCGATTATATAAAGGTTGCAGCTGAATACAGCAATCGGAAACGAAAACTTCCGTGATGTTGTAGTTTGTCAGCGATAATAACAATGCTCTGTTTGAATAGTGCGAAGATAAAGACACATCCCATTTTCGTTCCAATATCTGTATTTTTGATGTTCAATATTATAAGGAAGAAGTAACCTAATCACTAACATTTGCGCAACTGCATCTTGTGACCACATTTGTATCGTCATAACTACCGATGCACGTGGCTTTCCCAACTCGCCCGTCTCAACCGTACCATCAGTGACAAATACAGTTCAAGCACCGAATAACCGTTTCAACGTCTTAAACCACCATCATATTGCGGAAAGCACGGATCGCAATGGAAGGAGATCACCCGCAAGCTGTCGACGATGTGTCTATGGAAGAGCCATCGAACACCGAGGTAAGTGCTAATGCTTCAAAACACTTTGCCCTTGACTGCCTTAGTGCACGTGTTTTGGTTCATAGTTTTCGGTGGACGAGCACGAAAAAGACGAGCACACGAAAGAGAACAAACACCACGAGCGCTTGTGGTGTTCACTCTGTGGTCGTCGTCTTTTTTAGCGCTAAATTTACGTTGTCATGAATTATACGTGCTTTTCACCTAGCATTTGATAAGCTTTCTTTTGTACTGTAATTACCGCTGTGATAGCCTTACATCTTGACGAGAAGTATGTAAATACAAGAAAAGTCTTGATGACAATTAGTGATACATAAGGAAGTGCTCGTGCATCACTCCTACACTGTGTTCGATATAATCAGAGGCTAAGGCATTTCGGCATTAGCTCATGGACACGGTTGCGATCGCAGGTCATGGGGATATCATTTTGGTGAATATGAAGTGCAAGGTATCCCGCGTACACTAATATCTGGGTGCGTCATAAGAACTACCACGGCAACACTATTCGTCGGAACTTATGAAGTGGCACTTTCAGCGGGTGTTTGTAAAGGTTCTTAGCCCCGGTGCATTGAAAATGCGTCTCACGAATGGGCTGTCGCAGTGGATTATTGGTTATGGTGCTTAGCTGCTCACCCGAGAGACGCAGATTTGATCGCAGTGGTAGAACGCCAGGCCTTTTACGAGGTAATTGCATGTTTGAGAGCCCTGGCTGATGGACATTAGGGTATACTACGGCTATGACATTTTCAAGGGATATAGTCACTTTGGGGCCTCGAACCTGTCACACAAGCTGAACGAATCAGTCTTGAAATCGGCCATTCATTGAAGTTGAACAGAACAGAACTAGGTGTGTGGCTCATGTGTGTGCTTCGGGCCTTCGTCTTTTGATATCTACTGTGGGCCATTTTTTTCGCAGAATTTAGTAAAATTTATGTTACAGCTTTTTTATCTTTATCTGCATGCGACCGGTCAGGCTAGCCTTACATGAAAAAGATAAGTGGCGCAGAAAACACGACCAGCAGAAGATATATGAACTCGAGCACAGATAGACGCAATATTCGGATCTGGAATCGTTCGAACTGTTTACGGGTAGACATGGTTTGCCAGGTTTCCGGCGCTGCCCTTTGTCGCTCTCAAGCTACCAGCAGACATTGAAAGAGGTACAGGCTTGCGTTTTGACAAGCAGAACCACGTCATGTGTTGTCACTTATTGATACGATAGAAGGAATTTACGATGTGTTATGTTTGCACATTAGCGCAATTCGCAGAGAGTAAGTCCTCAGTCCTTGAGCTACTAAAATTTTGCCGCAATTGCCAGTCCGTACATCGAACAATCAACAAGCAATTCTAGCAATAGGCGTGCGATAGCTGAACTGTTTGATAATATTCCGAAAAAGAATGACGAGAACAGTGGTGCAGAACATCTGTGTGACCGTATAGCAACAAACGGCATCCCCAGCGTGATGTCAGTACAACTTTTGGCACTGGTAAATAATGGAGACACATTTACACGCTGGTATTTACTGGTAATTCGCTGAGTGAGGGCACTGGAACATAGCTGTGTCGCACTGATGAGGGCACTGGCTTAACCGCTGTGATGCTGGTGCACACTGGGAAGTGCTGGAAGGGGGGAATTTTCACTGGCAATTGGATTAGATAAAATCAAGTGCTGGTGAATACTAAAGCACGCACTGTTTCTACTAGCGCAGCGCGCACATTGGTGTAGTGTGTGCCGAGGTGTGTTTCGATGTCGTTGAATATAAAACGCTTGATTCGACGGCACGGATTGGACGGCTCCAACCATCCCAACTCACCACGCCGAGAGCGGTCTTACCCGTTGCCAGGCCCAGCGAGCGTCAGGATCGTGTGAGCTGCGGTGGTGTATATGGTACCGGTGCTTTTTGTTTCGTATCCACACAATTTTAAAGTGTGCGAATAACTGTAAAGTATAGTTTAGACATCCCTGAGCCTTAATCAACCCTTTCTCCGCGTGTGCGGTGCCCACACAAGGAGCGGTGCCGACACGATGTATCGTGCTTTCAGCAACGCAGGCTGTCACCGAAAGCTTCCTTCCGAGTGCCGTAGCCGGTACTTCTCTGACTCGTATGTAAGAACATGCAATTTGGAGTTGGTAATTTGGTATGCTTTAGTGCACACACTGGCATACTTTTTCATTGGATTGCATTAGTAATTTCTGTGGCGGTTTCTCAGTTGCAGGTACCGATGTAACTGCAAATCGGTACGATGGCACACCGGATGTATAGAGCTATATTGTCACTAGCGCGAAAAAAAAAGCAATATTCAATCGTGTGCGCGCATATGTACCGAACAAATCATTTATTTCATCTGTACATGTTGACCAGTAGCAAGTGCGAGAAGCGACTATCACAGAAAACAAAAACGTCGGCAGCAATCGCCGGTGATCTGTGACTGCTCCTCCAGTCAATATGAGATTTTTCATGGGTAAGATGCGAATTTTTCGAAAAAACTTTACACTCTTGCCAATATCCGCATGCCATTCGGTACCCAGAAGCTGTTCATCACTCTCGAATCAAGACGCAGTTGTTATTTGGGAACAAATATCGCATCAATCTTGACTGTGCGACTTATAAACATGAAGTAGGACGGCGTGTTCTAAGGACAAAAAGTCATTGGACAATCGAACCAACATGTTGGTCAAGTTTTCAAACGTCAGCGCTGATACTGGGACGCTTCCGCTCCAGCGTTCCATAATCATGCATCGCGCTGGACGGTGGTACCCAGTGGCGCTGGTTTTTGCAATAAGGGAGCCGTAATCCCGTAACCTAAATGCGAATGTGGAGTACTACACCTGATGGTGGTTGGTGCATGCCATGTCTGAATTCTAACGTCTTTTTTATTTCAGCAAGAAGTGTGCAATAATATTGCCACGTGGTCGTTACCTTAACGGACGCAGCAGACTATATGTTCAAGATAAAACTGGTTATTTTGCCGAACTTGTGGTTGACAAACAAAAAGTCAGATTAGAACGATTCACACTGAACTTATAGTGATTAGCAGAGCGTCGGCCGTCAATAAACTAGTCATCCTTGAAACGCGTTGTCTAATATCACTCGTCGAACTTTGCAGCCTAAATACTGGCCGTTGCACAAGCTCTGGGATAAACTCGTGTTCACGTCTTGCGCGAAATCCTGACAACACAATCTACTACAACTGTGAAGATTCTCGAACACTGAAGGCACGGTTAACGCTATTGCTGAGAGCCTTTGTAGGCGTAAACAAAGTACAACAAAAGTAAAATAAGAAATCTGTGTGGCAATTCGTTATGCAGTTCCCAAGCCGCAAGTGCCATGCATGAGGCTCACTATGCTTGCAAATCCAGCTGCGTTACTTTATTTTTTTTAAAAATGAATGCTTTGCGTCTGCAGGGCGCAGAAAGTTCACAGGCTCCGGACGACAGCTTCTCATCCAATATCTCAGTGGACGCGCTTGAGGCTCCCACGAATGCGTGCGCCTTCTTTGCTGGCGACACGCTTCAACGTATGGTTGCGTTGCACGGACGAATGTCAACGGTGGGTGAGCCGGGTGCAGAATCTGTCAGAGTGCGCGTTCCTCATGATCTCGAAGCCCGGTATCGACATCGCTGCAGCGTTGAGCTGGAGGTCACAGAAACTGAAGGTGCCACGGCTGCTCCCGCTGAACCTGAAGACACACGTAAGCTGTCATACTTGGGCATCATCATAATCATCATCGTCGTCGTCGTCCTCATCAGCCTGACTACGTCCACTGCAGTACAAAGGCCTCTCTCATGTTCCACCTGTTAACCCGGTCCTGTGCTTGCTGCTGCCAATTTATACCCGCAAACTTCTTAATCTCATACCAGTTCAAGAGGCGATAAATAGGCTGACTAAATGACGCCTCATGTAATTACGGTGGTGGTGCAATGGCGTGTTTTATTGCGAGAAGGCTTTTCCTTAGCTGCTTCGAGTGTGTTGTTGAGCGCTCAATTAGAAACAAGGGTTACGCTGCTTAACCTCATTTCAAAATTGATGTTCAATGCTATAGGTGGTACGCAAGAAACTTGGTCAGCAAAATATCTGAGTGCGTGTCTTGCGCTTAGAATACATCATTGCAAACTTTGCTTCCGTGATTGCTTCCGGCAGCGTGCTAAGAAACAAATCGCGAAGGCCACGATAGGAACAGCAGAAGTGCTAAGCGATACAGAACAACCTATACCATCAGCTTTTTAAATTACAAAGTTTGTTTATTTCTCAGGCAAAAAGCATCTTCATTTATTATTTACACCAATGCTGAAAAAAAAGATTACGTGTGGTAGTAGTGTTCTACTTTTTATTCGGGTGAATGCCTCCCCCGCAATATATCTGATTAGTTTCCAATAATGTAGAGTATAATAAATTTGAACGCATCCACCTCACCTATAATTACCCCACTTTAATGAAGTATCCGAAAAAATAAATAAGCCACTGCTACGAAAGAATGTAGGCGTTGCTTTAGGCCTTATGTAAATTGTTACTAGACCAAAGTGTGCCCACTTCGCAACTACATAAACAGTACTTGTACGAATGCACAGAACGCTAAACTCATTGAAGCTACCCGTTGGCTTCGCACTTGTAAAAAAAAATATCTTACAATAGAATATCTCACTGATATGTCTCCGCTTTTTTTATTGAACTAGGAATAAAGCGATGGGCTCTTGGAAATTTCAACTAGACAGGATATCTTTCAAGAGAGAAAGCTATCAATTGGGTTACAACTTGCTTTCACAAATAGCACCTGAACTGAGTGTTTCCTGTCTTAAAAAAGCTGTGAAACTTTTGGCACTCTTTAATTACCATACTACCAAAATAATCGCGAAAAACTAAGGATGTGCGGCAGCAGAGCTATAAGGTTTGTGTTTGTTGCAAGCTCGTGTGCTCAGATTTGGGTGCACCTTAAAGAACCCCAGGTGGTCGAAATTTCCGGAGCCCTTCACTACGGCGTCTCTCATAATCATGCGGTGGTTTTCAAGACGTTAAACCCTACATATCAATCAATCGAATATAAGGCTTGTGTTGAGATAACCTATAAGTCATAATGCCTCAAATGCGGTGAAAAGAAGCATCATCCTGACAAGAAGGCGAGAAAGAGCCTTTGGCGATCGGGCGATGGGATAGTGATAAGATAAACTTTAGCAAATTTTATTGTGCCTCGCACTTCAGTTCCAGCTTGTTTTCCCTTTTAAGTAAACTGCTACGGGCTGGCCATGAAACAGGGACCAAGAAATGAAAGTGAATGTTTCAATGTATTGTGGTGCAGCCATTAGCGAAAACAGTTGGGGACGTGTTCAACTAATTTGGCTGAACCTGAGGCTGGGACACAGAAAAGCAGGCTACGATGACGCGCACGGTATTCTGATAACGTCGAATAGGGCGTCAGTCATCAGTAAATATGTTATGCTGTAAGGCACGTCGGCATTTTACATGCGGCTCGATGGTTCTATAGTCGGCGACAACTTTCTGTGGTAGCACAACCAAGGTTGTGAAGCTCAAGCACGCCCATTTTAACAACGGTTCTGCGTGTAGTCCACAAACGCTAACATTTATATGCTGGGTAGCGTATAGAAAATTATAAAAAAAAGAAAATATAGAAATATTATGTTCAAGATTTTTCGCACATATTTCAGGAAGCTTACACCATGCAGTATTTTTGTTATTTGCTATTTCAAGTTTTCTGGTTTTCTGGCGTCATTTTACCTTTTTCCTGCTCTGGTAAACAACGATGGCGTCCCCGATCGATTTCAGCATGTTCACATCGAAGCTTGTAAGCGAACATGAGTGCATGTTCATTTGGTGATCTGTATTCATCGACCATGTAGAATTGAAGACAGTGGTCTGTCGTGCAATATTTTGATTCTCGCACATGCAATCACCGAGAAGTTGTGTGCGAATGATACCTTCAGCGAAAGGGTACTCTCATCAAGATAGCCGCCTTGAACGTGACACCGGGGACCCGCCAGTTTTCAAAAAGACCAGCTTGAATGCCAAGTGGCGATTGGAAACTGTATGTAAAATCAATGAACCTTTTCCTAAATAGCCTTGCATACGTCGCCAGTATTTTATACAGCTTTCTTTCTCTGTCCCAGCCACTTACTGTACAACTGTGTAGTAAAATAAACTATACTAAACTAAATGCATTTCAGCCGCCTGGTATTTCAGCTGTCTACAGAGGGAGTGATTCATTGCGCTTTGCAATGGCAGCGATTCGTGAGGATAACATTACCTGTGCAAAGCTGAGCAACAAATGTTTTCGTGTATATTATGTCATTCACCGTGAAAAAACAGCGTTGCTGGTGCAGTAAAGATTACGTTTGTTCGTGTGTTTTTTCATGAAACAAAAATCAGCAAATGTTCAGCGGTTGTGCTTCACCACCTTATTCTTTTAGGCTTGCCGTTTCAAATTTGTTCACAAAATTCGAAAGGATCTGCTCAAAAGGTTTTTTTTCTTTCCTTCGAAGCAAAACCGAAAAACAGCAATAAATGAAGCCACAAGTACAATTCGCCGCCCGCAAGTGCGAAAACTAGGCAAATCCGTATACTGCCTATCCTTCATTGGTCGCTGAATTATCGCACAGCCAGAGTCCCCTTTAGGCAATTTTGGGAAACTCTATGCCTGGGCCGGCACGAGACACGAGCATGTGGTGCTCGACTCGAGCATGAGCAGTAAGAGTGTTTACTGTGCCACCACCAACGCCGAAGCGCTACCTCGTGCGACTAAGAAATGCGCCCCATTTAAACCTTTACGACAGCACATGGCTGCTGTCTTACTCTACGCATGACATGTGAATGTAAGGAACGTTGCCGTAAATACTAACGCTGGCATCGGGGTCACAAGCGATCGTTTCTCTTTTTACTGAAGTGGGCGACGCGACAAGCGGCTGTGAAGGATGGGCCTCCGGTATACAGCAAATCCTGTCGCTTGAAGATCGCGTGCACGTGGTTGGTCCTTACGCTGTTCTTTTTTAGCGATGTTGTTTCACCGAGTTTTGATTGTACAGTTATCAGGGCCCCAGTCAGGTGCCTTTTGTTTTCGAAATAAAAAAAATATGTTAACGATAAAAAAAGAACCCGAATACCACCTTCTCTATTGTCACGATGGCGTGATAATGTACGTGTTTTGGGAAATTGTTCAGAAGGATTAAATAATATTCATTCATCACTTGCAGATCATCTGACCGAATGGGAGACTCTCACGAGGTCACTGTTGACCATGCACCACTGCATCGTGCGTTTGACGCTGCGCATATCGGCTGTCACACAGGTACCCCGGCGTTTCTACCAGGGCTTCAGTTTGCGAAATGGAAACGCGCATGTCGCTCTCGAATTACCAGCATTTGCCAACCCCATCAGAGATTTCCTGCTACCATGCATGAGTCACCTGTGTAGATTGGAGATGAACCGGCTCATTGGGATACGCGTTCACGACATCTCTTCGCAAGTTTGTGACAATCTACCACAGGATGTCCCCTTGGAAGAGGTTCTGACGCATGGACTTCTGCAATTGAACAATGACAGGTATTTTTTCAACCTTTCTTGTTCCTTGTATGGAAGAAATACCTTTACAGGTTTGAAGAGAATTCAAGCAGATGTGCAAATTGCAATGTTCCGCACATTTGTCAAAATGCTTAGAACGTGCACTGCAATAAGGGCTAGGTTGCGTTTCTTTTTGCGTACTATCACATTTGTTTTCATTGAAGACAGCGAGGATGCATGTATTACATCATTTTAGCTTGCATATTATCGGGCACGTTTGCATATTCAGTGTAATTCACTACATAGACTGTAATCACCAGAAACAATTATTTGTCGAATTAGCTATAAAAACATACTCTACCTCTGGACAGAATACAAAATTCGTCGGTGATATTCCTTAAGCCTATCTTCAAGATTTTGCTAATCACGTTTGCAATGAACTGAAACGATAATGCACTGCAAATATGAAAAATAAGGCAAGTTTCATGTAAATTGTAAATCGATTGCATGCAAAGTGTGTGACGGGGAACGTTACTGTGGTACTTTATTTTTTGAGAGAAATGTTACAAAATGATGCTAAATATATCTACGAAAGTTCCACTCGCATACATGTGTGTTAAACAATCGTATATGTTTGATGTAATGAGGTGTTTACAGTTTCCTAACGCTACCATGAGCGATAATATCGCCATAATTGGTAAGCCGGGATGTTGAGCTTGTATTTTATGGCGGGATAGCGCTACGCAGACAAACATCAGTGGATTGCACCTAGCTACAACAGGCGTTTACCCAAATTGATGACTATGTCATTGGTATACGTAAGGAAGGCTTATAAAACATTTAGGTAGCACTGCAATACAGGGAGTATTTCATCAACGTTACACCTTCATAAGGTCTTTTTTCTAAAGCAGTTCCGAGACCTGGTGTGGCTCTGTGGTAAATCCTTCATTGCCACGCAGAATGATCAGGCTCGAGTCTAGCTGCGACGACAAATTTTTTTATTTGCTTTCATTGCTGCTGATATCAGTTTTTCGTAACTCTTTCATACTTGAGTTTCTAAAGGCTATTCACGTCGTTCCTTGGTAGATATAAACTGTCGAACACCTGTGGCGCATACCTGCATTCCATGGCCCAAGGTGTTTGAGTATGGGCCACACGTGTCTGGAGGAAAGGGCTTGACATCGCACGCGATGCGATTTTCACATCGTCATGACCAGACAGTCCCAACTGAGAAACCGTCTTATGCTTCCCTACTCATTTTGGTCCACCCGAAGTTAAGGAAGTGATCGCAAATGCACCCAGACATAGGCGGCTAGATAAATACACATATGCGTAGATAGACGCTCAAAGTGTTTGCAGTATGAAAAAAAAATTTTTCAGATTCAATAGCATAACCCAAGTGTTTAAACCTATCATCATCATCAACCTAACTACGCCCACTGCAGGGCAAAGGCTTCTCTCCTGATCTGTCGATCAACCCAGTCTTGTGCTTTGTGCTGCCACGTTATACCTGCGAACTTTTTAATCTCATTGGACCGCCTAACTTAATGCCTTCCTTCGTGCGTTTACCTTATCGGGGAAGTCAGTTACCCTTAATGACCAGTGATTATCCTGCCTACGCGCTACGGGCCCTGTCCATGTTCATTTCTTCTTCTGAATTTCAATTATGGTATCTTTGACCCCGGTTTGTTCCTTTACCTACTCCGCCTGCTTTGTGTCTCTTAAGGTTGCATCTATCATTTTATTTTTCATCGCTCGCTGCGTCGTCCTCGACTTAAGCTGAACACTCTTTGTAAGCTTCAAGGTTTCTACACCGTAGGTAAGTACTGGCAAGATGCAGCTGTTATATGCCCTCCTCTTGAGAGTTAGTGGCAGATCACCATTCATGATTTGAGAACGCTTGCCGAGTGTGGTCCACCGCATCCTTATTCTTCTAGTTATTTCCCTGTCATGGTACGGCTCCGCGGTTACTACCTGTCCTAAGTAGACATATTCCTTTATAACTTCCAGCGTCTCTCCAACTATCACAAGGTGCTGTTTCCTGCCGAGACTGTTGCACATTAGTTTGTGCATATTATTCCTGAGACCTACTTTTTTGCCTTCCGCGTCCAGTTCAGTAATCGTAATTTGTAATTATTTCCGCGAATTACTCATCAACGCAGTGTCATAACAGAATCGCAGGTTATTAAGAGACTCTCCATTTACTTTTTTCTCTAGCTCTTTCCATTCTATGGCTCCGAGAACCTCCCGTACACGCGTGGTGAATAGCATTTGGAGATTGTGTCTCCCTGCCTTACACCATTCCTTATTGGGACTCTGTAACTTTCCTTATTGAGACCTATGGTAGCTGTGGATCCGCTGCTTCTTTTTTCCAGTATGCTTATGTAGGGTTCGTGGATGCTCTGAGTACGTAGTGCTTGCATTACTGCTGATGTCTCGACTGAGTCAAACGCCTTCTCGTAATCTGCGAAAGCTATGTTTAGAGGTTGGTTATCTTTAGTGCATTTCTTTATTACCTGACTGATAGTATGAATATGTTCTATTATGGACTCGCCTGCACGAAATCTTGCTTGGGCTTTTGGTTGATTCAACTCTTATGTCGGCTTAATTCTATTAGCTATTTTGTGTAAATATATTTTAGAGTGGACAGCAAGCTTGTAATTTTTCTAGCCCTTCACTTCTTTCTTCTGGATATTTTCGGTTGCAATTGAGGCTTTCATAGTTTGTCGTGTCTTAGCGAGATTTATGTATCATGTGATATTTTGCCGGTGTCCTGTCCAGTAACTGTACTCCCGACTTCCAATGCACGCTATTTCATGATACTGGTAAGATCATCGTTAACTGTGTCAACGCTAAAGTCGGTTACTTCGTTTAAAGCCTCGAATCTACTCGGCAGCGAAACTCCGAATTCATGTTCTTTCCCTCTAATCACTATCTCTATGATTGGCTTATTGCGAATCAGTTTGTCTTTACTTTTTCAATCTTGTTGATTCGATCTCTTACCATTTCATGCTCACTGAATGGAATCATGCCAACTACTTCTACATCCTGCACAATGCTTGCGCATGCACACAGAATGAAGTCTTTTTTTTAATTTTTGGGTTTGCCAATAAGACTTCACTACGTCAACTTATGGTTAGCCTGTTTTCTTAAGAAGGTATATGGCATCCATAAATTATTACGTTCGCTGAATTCTACGAATTACTCCCCTCTGGCATTTCTAGTGCCGATGCCATATTCCTCCACTGCATGGTCTCCGGTCGGTTCCTTGCTTACGCTAGCCTGGAAGTCGCCCATGAGTATATTATATCCTGTGTCTTTGCTTTAATAGTGTCTGACACAACGCATTGATAGAAGCATTCAACCAAATGATCCTCATGGCTCGATATAGGCGCGTAGGCCTGAACCACCTTCATCTCGTACCTTTTGTTAAAATTATAATACTTATTATATATTATTTTATATACATATAATCTATATAAATATATATAATATAATACTTAATATTTATTATGTTAAAATTATAACACTAAAATTATAATAAATTATAAACTAATTCACGGTAGCGTAGAACGTGTGCGCTCTTCAGCACTGTATAGGCCTCACTTGTCTTTGTAACTTTGCTTAGTCCTATTAGATCCAATTTAACGCCCTGCATTTCCTTGAATAGCAGAGCTAGACTAGCCATCCTAGATAGCGTTCTAACGTTGAACGTAGCCGAGTTCAGGTTCCGATGGTAACCTGTGCGGATTCGGAGATTCTTAGGACGCTCCGCTGCGTCGCAGGTGTGTCCGCAGCCTTGGAAAGTCGCTTGGCAGCCGCGGAGGATTGAGGGCGAAGGAAAGATTAGTATTTTTATAAAGGAGGTAGTGGCCATGTACTGCACCAGGGTGGCCAACCGTGCTTTACCGGCATTGCCAGCAGGCAATTGCCAGTGAGGCCTCACTTCTGAGCAGACCTTTTGTTCTTTACAGCGAAAGCTGCCATGGTATCACAACACGGCTCACGCGCCGCGCCATAGTTGTCCGCCGCCGCCACCGGTGTCTATGACCACTATCGCATGAAATAAGAAAAAAAAGCTTGGATGGTCATGAAGGGCTTTTGGTTATACCAAGGCATATGCGTATTTTCAGGCTGACCAAAAGCACGAAAATACGTCTTCATACGTCTTCAGCCTGGTGCGCTGAAGACGTATGAACGCCTCCGCCAGCTTTACTACTGGCGTGGCGTGTACACCTTTGTCGAAAATTACATCCGATCCTGTCCATTGTGTCAGCAACTGAATTGATTGATATGTGGGGTTTACCGTCCCAAAACCAATATATGATTATGAGAGACGCCATAGTGGAGGGCTCCAGAAATTACGACTATCTGGGGTTCTTTAACGTGCACGCAAATCTGAGCACACGGGCCTACAACACTTCCGCCCCCATCAGAAATGCAGCCGCCGCAGCCGGGATTCGATCCCGCGACCTGCGGGTCAGCAGCCGAGTACCTTAGCCACTACACCACCGGCCGCGGTGGGGCTGTGAACAACTGTAGTCATTTACCCATTCACCCGGTCTACTGCAGCCTCTAATTATGTCCGGCGCGCCCTTTCAAACGCTTATGCATCGACCTATATGAACTCCTTCCTTACACCGCAGCTGGCAATCGAATTGTCACTGTGGACCTACTCACGAGATACGCGAAAACGCTGCGCTACCTTCAGCTGTAGCTCGAAACGCCGCCGACTTCATCTTACGACGACTCGTCTTGTGTCACGGGGCACCAGGCGAACTACTCAGCGATAGAGAGCGCGTGTTCTTATCCGAGATTCTTCAAGAGCTCCTTTGCTCATGTCATACGATTCACCGCACCTATACGGCCGACCACCCGCCGACCAATGGTCTAACGAAGCGCTTCAATCGAACCCTATCAGACGTGCTTATTATTTATGCGACTTCTGACCAGTCAAACAGATGTGGTGCTCCCTGTTTTTAACCTATGCATATAATATCGCGACGCATAAAATGGGCTTTTCACCTTTGTATCTTCTACAAGGCTGTGAAGTATGCGCCACTCTTGACATCATTTTGCGGCATCGCCAATACGCTTATAAATTTGGTCTTGTTTCGGAAATTGTGCAAGATGCTACATAGTGTCCTCAGTTTGCCCTCTCATTCACATCGGACACACAAGTCCTCGAAAAAGAAAGCCACGATCGCGACGTGCAAGTCGAAAGTTTAGCCGTGGGCTCGCTCGTCTGGCTTCGACTGCCGTCCCGCTCTCCCGGTCTGTCCTCCAAGTTTGTCCCTAAGTATCACGGTCCTTACCACGTCATGGAACGCCGCTCTCATATACCATAGCTGATCGAGCCAGTCAAACCATTGACAGACAGGTCGCATCAAGCCATACTACGAGCCCTTCCTTCTGTCATCACTCTGACTCGCCTGGATGGCTTCGCGTTGTCACCGGTGTAATATAACGAGGAAGAACAATGCGCTGCAGTGAGCGATCTCTTTAGGCAGAAGCACTGAGCGCGAGTTGTTGGCCCCAGCACTGTGATTCATGTGGCGGTTGTCGCCGCCCGCTTTCAGCGTCGATAGACCTGCTGTGCAAGTGCTACTCACGCCAATAAAACCCATTTCAACACACATATCTGGACATTACAGCGAGTAAAAAATCAACCGAGAGAATCCGTATGATTGGTTTCGCAGTAAACTAGTGCGGTCAGATGAAATTAGGAAGTTTACAGGTATAATGTGGTAGCAGAATACATAGGACCCGGTTGAATGGTGGAACATGAGAGAGGCATTTGCCCTGCAGTGGGCGTAGTCGGGCTAATCTCATGCTGATGACGATGTTGTGTTCTTCCCTCAGGGCAATGATTTGCGTACTTTTCCAATGAACTAGCGAAAATAAACTTTTTAATATTAAGGGTGCTCGTTTGTTTCCTACAAAGAAGCTTTGTTAAAAGCCAGTGACTCTTGATCTTGCTTCGCTTACACTGCGTGAGACGTCACAGTCAGCGAATTAATACATATACCCGCAATATTTCCAACAGGCTTGAACGAATACTGGAGGCAACCACGGACATGCCATCTCTAAGCGAGCTAGAAATTCACCTCCGCAACACTGGGGCTGGACCACGTGAATCGCAAGCTTTCGGGCTAGGCCTGAATCGAATCAGTTCTGACGAAGATCGGAGACTCCAGTGTGGGGTCGGTGTGCACTACACAGGTTTGCTGGACTGTGCGAGTGCGAACCCACTGAACCCGGGCGAGCTCCTCAGGCTGCTCTTTTGCCGCGAGCTGAGAGGTTTCGAGAGTAGCACGGCGGCGTACGTACTTACAGTCGCACGTGTAGTACGTCAGGTAAATGATTTTTTAAACATAATCATTACTGTACGCGGGCGCGATGAAGATGGCAGCCACTGACGTTTCTGCTCACAAGTGAGTTTAGAAAGCAATTTTCGGTAAAGAATCATTTTTGGACAATTTTCTAAGAAAAGACTAGAATAAACTAGCTGCAAAGAAGGCAGGTCAGAAACTTTACTCTATTTGGACGATCTTAAGGCAGTAAGCATCTCCTGCTTGACTACGCTTTAGCAAATTTATTAGTATGCACGCGACGTGGCTCCTCGCATCAGAAATTGCTGGTATTTGTTTCCCAAACATTTTGCATATCACCGTTATTTTTTACATCTATCAAGTGAGATATTTATTTGAAAACGTAGCTTACTAGCGTCTTTTATTTTGTATAGGCAATATTATCTCACACACACTCTGACAGATGCCTCTTATTGATTGTTTTTTAATACTGATGCTTGTTCAAATAGTTATTGTCACACAATATTCTTCTTTGCGCTTCCTTCTGAATAGACATACGCCTTCAATAAATGATGATCAACCCTCACTTTACTGTAAGAGAGTGAAATTTCTTCATTAAGTGTATGCTCTGTGTTCTACAAATATTGTGCCTCATAAGACGTGGTTTGTTCTTCGCATAGGAAAAATATAGATGGGGTTCTTTTTTCCCATCGTATAGCCATTGTTATTCAGGTGATAAAGTGTGCATACGCACATAAACACCAAAAGGTTATGGAGGCTGCCTCCTTGAGGCTCTATTAGCCCACCAGTTATTATGGAGCACCTTGGGAAAAGGTAAATACTATATAGAAAGTACAGTAATTATTTTGGCATATATACACCTATGTCCAGTGCAGTCGGGTATTGCACCTTGTTCAAATCCTTGGCACGCGTATAAACGTGGCCATAAGCGCAGTCGTGCGAAATCGGTGCCTCTCCCTCAAAATATATTGAGAAGACTAGTACATCAAAAAAAATGGTGAAAATGATACCTTTCGGTCATTTCTGCTTGGCCTCCATGCTAGGCCGCTCAAGTTGTAGATAATAAAAAAAATGAAGACTACGACGTCGTGACATTACCCCCATCATTATATTGGGACGTGTTGGAATCGCTCTACGTTTATGTGTTGGTGTTTATCTCCTGAAGACTGTTGCTGACGCTCTGCGCTGATGTTCAGAATGTTAGCGGTTGTTTCAATCATTATTAAATTTATGTGCTGGACGCCAATCGAACTCGCGACCTTCACGTCAGCAGTCGATCACCATAGCCACTGTTCCACCGAGGCGGACTTGATCGAAACATTATTGTTGATTAGCGTCTATTATCCATAAATCTTATGTTATCTGCTGAACAAAGAAAGTGGAAGTTTAAGGGCTCTTTTTTTCTTGATGGATTTAAATCAACAATTGAATTAACAGTTTGAGTTACCAAGTATACGGGATGGTATTTTTATATTATGCCAATTAGGACGTAAATTCGTAAAAGGTAAAAAAAAAAGACGACAGTGAAGGCTAGGCTTTGGGGTGCGCTCATACTTTGGTGTGTGTCGCTTGTCTTGGTACTTATTGTGCATCCCTCGTTGGAATGCATTCGGGATGTGCGCTGCTACCTTATGTTGCACACGCATAAATACATCACGGGCAATAAATAATTGGTCACTTCTGGGAACACTGGTGTTCTGAGGATGCCTGAAATGGTATCAGCGTCAATGACGGCGAATGGACGAAAGAACTTCTCTGGGTGCCGAGTTATGTCTCAGCTGCTTGCGCAGGACATGCGATTTCTTCTTTGTCTGTAAACATTCTGACTTTGAATAAACAAAAAGCGCTAGACTAGGGCGGAAACAAGAACACACAGGCACGGTGCTCGTCTCTGTCCTGTTCCAGCATATTTTTTTCCTCTTTGAATGCCAGTATGTACAAACCAACCCAATTCAAGACGCTCCGAATATTTCGATGTCGCTTCATGTGCACCGGGGCAGTTTGTGCACTTCAGTGGAGGAGCAGCATCGCAGTTTTTGTGCGAGGTTTACTGCACTACTGGAGCTTGTAACCTCACTTTTGCATATTGCGCTGACGTGTCCTAGGCTGCAGCACTTGGAACACTGAGAACGTCGCGATATGCAAGGCGGCACAGAAAAAGTGACATACCTAACCTGGACGTGGAGTGGAACCCTCCACTACGGCGTGTCATGGAATGAGTGGCCTTGCTATAATAAGCCCTATAACCAAACAGATCAATAAACCAGTGGAAGGAGCAGTCTGCAGCCGTCCATACGACAATTCAGCATTAACCTTTCGCGACGTCTAAATTTTTTATGTGTTATGGCTTCTACGTTAAAAACACTGGTGCAAAGTTCTTCATTAAACAGAGCTCACAAAACACGGTACAGAAATAGATCATGACAAGCGCTTATCCTCATGAGCTCTTCTCCTGATCTTATTCTGTTCTGTATTTTGTGCACTGTGTTCCATGAAGAACTATGAATAACCAACACGCCCAAACCTCCTCCCATTTGAACTAGTGCAAAACTTACTAAAATTGGGACAGATGAACAAGGACATAGACAACACATTGTGGCATTTGTTGTGTGCATCGTTGTTTTTCAGTATGTTCTGCTGAAATTGCCGCTGGTTGCCTAAAGCTAATGTACAGCCAACTAGCCGTCAAGTATCACTTTTAATCCGCTTGAACACAAAAAAAAATTGAGTATAAAGGGTGTTTTTCTAGAGCAATATACTTCCTATATTTAGCATTTATTTCATTGTACTATCACCACGCGCCTGGTACTTCCATGTCAGATTGGCACAACTTCCTAGGAAAGTGGCCAGCGCCAAGTTCTCAAGAAAGAAAGCGCGAGCCGGCCGGGTGGTGATTGTTGTCGGAGAAGGAGACACCTTTTTTACTAGACATTTTCCAGAGGTAGGATATACCAGAGAGGACATTTATTCTGCTATCACAAAAGTATTCTACAGCTTCAAACAAGGTTTTTATGCGCACTAGTTTTCGAAGAGATGGAAACAAATTTGTACGGGCCACGTGTATTCATTTTCTACAAGCATGATCGAGTGTGTAGCAGAACAATGGTAACCCAATATGTTCGTCGGAAATATGTGACTGAACCCTCCTAATAATTTCTTTGCCCGATTACGTGTTACAGCCTACTGTGTAGCCTCTGCCTCTACTTGTGGCGTTTTTCACTGTGGCACATCTCACACTATGATTTGTAATGACCAGGTGAAAGTGCTGCCTAATGTTTAAACAGACAATTCAACAATCTTTGCGAAACCCTAAGCTCGGCCGATTGAAAACATCCCGTAATATATTTAATATCACTGAGAAGTACGGTGCGTCAATTTAATACTGCCGTTTCGTTTTGTTTATTTGGGCCAAAAATTATTTTGACACCCTACCGTATCGCACAGAATTTTTATCTTCCTAGAGAAAGGTGTTTTTAGATACTCAACAGCTATTGTATTAGTTACTTATGTCGATTGCGCACATAAAAACAGACCTGAACACACTGAAAGCTCCTCCTAAATTAAGCAAAAATAATGACCGTGCAACAACTCTAGACATTCTCTCATTTGTTTTCAATGTATGTTCAGGTTTTTAGCTAAACATTTAGTTTGATGTGCTCAGCTTTTCACCCACCTCTCAGTCAGCATAATATTTGGGACAATATTGAACACTTTTTCAACCTGCTACTTCATCATTTGTGTATGTCGTTTGATAGTCGTCATCTCACAGGTGTGAATCAAATATTTTAGGATAACGTATGCCTCTTTGTTTCGTCAGATGTACCGGGACAAGTTGTCATGTTTTATTTGCATGCACTGGGCTGGTGTGCTGTCTAGAGGCCGTATATTTGAGCGTTGGTAACACAGAGTAATGGCGCTCACCTCGTCCTGTTCATTACGTCATAACATCATCGCAACTTGCTCAAGATGGCATAATGGCAGTTCCACTGTGGGTATCATGTTTTTTGGTCTGGAAAGTAATTAAATTCCTGGGTTTTTCTGTTTCTAGTCCACTGATGGTCCCCGACGCAGTACACTAAATTTCTCTTCTCTTTTTTTTTTTACCTGAGTGGTATGACACTTTCGTCTAAGTAACACTACCTCCAACGATAAGCGCCACCGGATGCCTCTTGCCTGCGACACAGTGTACAATTTATGTCGTGCGAAAGAAGCCCCAAACAATCAGTGACATCACCAGGACTGTCTATTTTGCAGAACGACATTGACACTGATTCAACACATCACAACTTGCACTTCAGTGGAGTGTAGCATGTTATTTGTGCAACTTCAACACATCGATAAACTGCCTTATCAGCCTGTCAATTAGGCATTGACTTGCGTTTTGACCCTGCCTGTTTGTTCGCCAATTCTGCAATTTTAGTTGCGTTATCGTAAACAGTGTCGCATTTAAAGTATTTGTTTTTTGTCGGCAAATTGTCACATGTCTTGTGGCTTTCCGGAGTAATAAGTTTAAGCTACAGTGCTTTGAACAAATAGATGACGCTAACCATTTGAAGAAATCATTTACTGTGAAGAAAACTTGACCAAGGGTGACACATTTCATGTAGATATACTGCTCAGCAGACGTAAATGAAAGCATGAAGTTTGCTTGTGATAGTTTATTTCACTCTAGCGTTTTTTTTTTGACAATTTCAGTCTCCAATTGTACATCCTCTGTATCCGAGCCATCGATAGAAAAGGCTCGGGCATGCGCAAGGCGGTGGACATATGACATTGCAACTCTGAAAAGCATCCGACAAAATAATTTTGTTAGTCACCTTGCAATGAATTGAAAAGTCCACGTTCAGTTGAAGAGACAGAATCCACCACAGAAAATTAAAATATTTGTAAAAATAGAACACTTTTCAAAAGTTTCAGCCAATCGTATTTGAATTGTGAACCACCGATAACGCCCCTCACCACCAGCCTACTCACCCAGGTACGAGACAGAAAGCACCGCAAGCCAGCAGACAGCGCATCTTTAAAACGCGTTGTGAACACGCATTAGCGAGATCGATGGTTAGCCAAGGGTATTTGCCTCTGGGTGTCTTCTAGACGTGGCTGTGTGCGTAATGTGCTTACCGCCGGATCCGTCGATCCACCACATCCACCAAAAAATGTGACTCGCACGGCCTTATGTCACCTGCGGGTCACCTGCGGGTCAGCAGCCGAGTACCCTAGCCATTAGCCCACTGAGGAGGGAAGTAGCAGGCGGGCAGGCAAAGGACTTTATTAGTATCCGGAGGTGGCGCGCAACCCCTATTAAGGGGTGACACCGGTGGGTCACTCCCACGACGGGACGGTGAGTTTGAACTCCACGGCTATGTTGAGGGCCCTCTGGATGGCGCTAAGCTGATCTCCTCTGTTGTGGCTTGTGAGGAGACAGTTCAAGTCCGCCTCCGTAGAGGGAGACTCATAGAGGGAGCATTGCCACCGCATGTGTTCGAAAGTACATATGGGATGACCACAGCGCGCGCACCCCGGATCTATAGGTCATCGATGCATTTAGAGCAATTTAGAGACGATGCATACGCCTCCACCTGTAAGAGTCGTAGAGTGATGGACTGAGGTCTTGTCTAGTGTGGGTGCGTGAGTGGGTACTTCCGCCACTCCAACTGGTAATGTAAGGGAAGTAGCGAAAAAATTCACAGATGCTAGAAATTATGCGCGTTTCCTAAACCGCTCGAACCAGTGACAAAAAACAAGAACAAAGCTTGAAACTCGCTTCACTGAATAATTTCTGTCAGTGCTGTTTCAAACATTTATTTTGATTGAACCTTTTATGCACCGTGATGACAGCAGCGCGGACTGCTTGCGGTTCATCAGAAAGGTTTGGTTTCAATGCTCACATTAAGAAACTCCCTTTTCTATTAAGGCTGAGTGTAAAAAAAAAGCCTGTACTAAAATTTCAGGCTTGTTTAGAAGAGATAGGTGGTCAGTATATTACGAGTCCCAATAGTCAATAGTCGTATTAATTGAATGAAAACTTGGGGACTTCAAGCACGTGAAATGCATTTCAAACAACTAGCAATGGGCGAGAATGCGATTCTAAGCGTAACGTCTGCATAGCATTCTGACAATAGCTGAAGGTTTTGGGCATCCTTGTTTACAATCTTAAATTTAGCGCCATTCGTATATTGTAGCGATAGCCACTGCACTGTTCCTGTTAGTTAGATGTTCTTGGTATATCTTTTGGCATGTTTTACATAGGCAATTTGTACTAGAAAATATCCTTTTTTTTTCTTAAGTCATAAGCCAAATGTAGCCGTTCGGGAAAATTATTGAGGAAGAAACTTTATATTCGGTACTCACTTGTTTCAGGCAATATTCATAATCACTTCGGCTTCGTTCTCTCAGAGTTACGTTGGCGTGTGTGTTTTGAGGTCTACAGTTACCGCTGAAAATTCAAGAGAAAAGGGTTCAATGAAACTTCCGTCCCATATAATAGTCACAATAAGACCTAACATATGACTCATTAAATGTCAACGGCACCCGATTAAGCCTGTATCTGTCACACATTTTCTATAACCTACCTGAATGTTTCCAAGGCACTGTCAGTTACATCAAAAATCTTTCGAACTGATAGTAAATTTACTTATGACATCTTCACCCACATATAAAGATGCATGAAATATGTGGATATCCCACGCCATCGGCACCATAAGTAGAAAACGCCGTGTATATCTGAAAACTACATGTTTTGTGTTGATGAGTTTGATGACGGCCCTGACAAAGAAAACTAGGTTAATTATTGCTAAATACAGCACTTTTTACAGCCAAGCTCTGTACTTCTAGCCCTCAACGGTTTCGCAGTTGTGGGCAGAAATGGGCATAGCCCAAAGCTACGCCTCCAGATTGCTCAGCTCTGAATTGCTTTCCATAAAGAAAAGCACAAAGCTAGGATCAATCCTCATAATTGGCTAAGCGCTTGCGCATGTTCTCCTAACAGGATCACCACTGTCTACTTCGCGTCGGGTGTTTGCCATGGGACGAATGACTCTCCCATTGATGGCGATCAAATGTCGCACGAATTCGATCTTTAGCCACAGCAGTGTTGCAGCGCTCAGCTGTTTTCGATTCGCCGTTCACCCATGTGGGGTCGCTGCGAAGTTGCCACTGCATCGTGGATAAACGTTCCCATTGTGTCCGCAGTGACAGTGAAAGCCACTAAGAAGAAACGACCGCAGGCTTTGTGAATTCAGGCATGGTTTAATGCAAGCGATGAACATAAAGCATTATCAAGCGTTACACGGGTGCAGAATCCCAATTTAACGGACATTTTTGCACATAGACTATTCTTCAAGGTCAACACCATTTGTTTGCACGCCCGCATGCATCTCAAAACACCTCGCGGACGAAAGGACCATAGACTACGATGAGGTTTATGGGAATCAATGACCTCGACGATCTAAAACATAGCACCATGACTATCAATGCGTCCAAACAGATGATTGTGAACGACGAAAACACGCCTGGCTGGTCTGGAAAATAAAAAAAACTTCTGAAAATTGCTCCCGGTGAATTTTCGATACCAATTTCACCTTGGTAAGATTCTAATGCGGAAACACCACTCAAGTGACGTCGTAATCGGTAATCGTTCTCGCCGTCATATGCAGCTTCACTGTTGAACCGCCGTCAAAGCTTTGATTGGACCGCCGGGGCAAGATAAAAAAGCTTTAACTTTATTTTATTGGAACCATGTTTTTATGTGCTACACAACAATGCTTGCGTTATAGGCATATATCTAAGCCACGATTGTTTAATACTCTCAGTTCATGAATAATATAAATAGAGAACACATTTCATGAAAATTTGTTAAATTTCATCATCAACAAGCTTTCATCATCGTAACAAGCTTCTTTGAAAGAGTTGCTTCACAGTTACGAGGACATTCTCAGGTGTACTTCGGATGTATTGTGAATGAACGACAGTTGATTGTCCTCAGCAACAACGTCCTTATTCACAGAACACCATACCGATGCGATACTCTCAGCAGACTAAGATAAAATTGTCAGGAAGAGGTCTTACTTCTGAAGCAAGGTGTAGTGCGTCCATCTTTCTCAACATACGCGGCTCCTACCATCCTTTCAGAGAAGAAAAGGTGAAGGACGTACTTGTTTATGCATAGATTCGCGTAAGCCTAACGCTGTCACTGTATCCGACTACCAACCTATTCCGCGTATAGACGATGTGCTGGAACACCTAGGAAAATCGAAATATGTTTCGGCATTACACCTCGGGCTATTGGCATGTCAAATTTAATCCAGGGGACGTTTCAAAAACAGCTTTCGTCACGCCGAATGGTCATTACGAGTGGCTTGTTCTGCCTTTCGGTTTGAGAAATGCTCCCGCTTCATTTGAAAGAGCTAAGAAATAAGTGATCAGAAATCTTAACTTGAGGATGGTCAATAATTACTCTGATGATATCGAACTCTTCGCCATGGCGTTTACTGAACCTCTGCACCACCTCCAAGCTCTACTGCGTGCTTTACAACAGATAATACAAAACTTACATTGAAGAAGTGCAACTTTGCCCAAGATTCCTTTCAATATGCGTCACAGAATGTCTCACGGTACAGTATCGCCTTAACAAAGCAATAAAGAAGCTGTTATGAGACTCCCAAGAACAAAATATTCGAAAGAGGTGCAGAGTTTTCTAGGCACTACCAACGTTTACCGCCAGTTTAAATCACATTTCAGTGACATAGTTTTCCCACTTATAAGACTGCTAAAAAATGACTCTCCATGAGAATGGAATTTTTCTTGTGAACAAGCTTTTCGGAAATTAAAATGCTGTCTAACCAACCAGCAATTTGTACGATTATTTAATTGCGAGTAATCATGCATTTTTAAGGCAACGATTCTAACGTAGGCATCAGTGCAGTCCTGAAACAGTGAGATTATGATGGTAAAGAACACCCTTTTGCTTATCATCCACGTAAATTACTCACTCAAGAATTAAATTATGCCATCGCAGAGCTCTAAGGCCTCGCTATAGACGACGCTGTTGAGAATTGGCACTGCTATCTCCATGGAAGACCATTCACTTTTGTCACCGATGACGCTGTCTTACATGGACTCAAAAACATAAAAATGGTCTCTGAAGCTGTCTATGTATGAAGTCAAGATTCGACATAAAAAACAGTTAAAACAACATAGGGAGCGCATTTTCTCGGTGCCCAGTGGTTGATCTCTTTTTGGCACTAGAACTTCAAACTAGCCAGGGCGACCAGCTTCGTTGCAAGCACACAGCGGAACCTGGGTCAATTTCGTGACACTTAAAGAAATTCGCGAAAGACGCGCTACGTCTAAACGTTTCTTCACAAAAAGATAAAAATTTAAGTTGTGATGCATTCTTTTCGCGCCTGACCGCCATCTTCCGTGCAGGAAAGCCGAAAAGGTTCCTATCAGATTGTGGGCCAGTTCGACTGCCTGAAAGCCCCAAAAGTTCTTAAAACACAAAGATGTCCGCCCATTGTTCCTGTTCTCCCAGAACCCTTGGTTAATGACATCGACCAACGTACGAACCATACTATTTTAACCCGGCTAAAATGAAAAATGAAGGAAAAGTCGCAGAAGTCTTGGGTCGAACATCTTTTGGATGTCGTCGAGGAATACAACAGAACCACACATGAAGTAACACGTTATCTACCATCATACCGTGTGTACGGAATGGCTTTATAATTTTAAACGCACCAATGCAAAGTGTACGAGAAGTAAGAAAAAGTGCAGTCAGCAACATGCTTGCCTACCATGAAAAGAACAAGATCATGTACGACAATAAATTCTCACCACAAGATTATTAACCTGCCGAACTGGTTCTCTACGAAACACTTTCGTGCCTGAACAAAAGAACGGTTCGTTGAGTCATGGAAGGACCTTACAAAATCCTTCGTATAGTGTCTCCTGTGAGAGCTATCATATCAACCGATGCGTAACACCGTTAAGCAGAGCTACTTGCACGTCAGTTTACGCTTTCGGGGCGAGAGAGAAACGTGAGGCGGTTCACAGGAAAAGGAGTGAAAAGAAGATGACGAAAACCAAGAGTTAAAATAAACTGGTGCTCTGATGTTATGTTACACACACTTGAATTGGTTCTTTAAAACTCATTATGATGGTGGTACACTTTTCAAATCGACTGTACATGACACACATCTATTATTTTTTTTATTGGTACTCATTTTTAGTGTTAGTGAAACTTTAATGTGACAACGGTTACTGATTTCGGTGTGTACCAAACAGACGAAGCTACCTTGACAGGACTAGAACGGGACGGGATGAATTGATGGATGCAGTGACAATTCAGTGTATAGATGAGTACGTCCAAACCTGAATAGCTGAATGGATATGTGGATGAATGCACTCGAAATGGCTTTTCTTTGCCACAAAAATGCTTTGCAGTCTAGGAACCGTGACATAACGATAGGAGATCTCAAAGTGTTTCTTACCAATCTGTTAATAGTACGAAATGCGCGTGTAATATTTCAGTGGATAGAAAGTGGAACATTTTGTCTTGTGTCACAATTGAAAAATATTTAAGTACCATTTAGTTGCATAAGCTCGCGGGAGCCAGACTTAGTGTTCTGGTGGTTTTGTGAAATACGCCTTTGTTCTATCAAGATACTCTGAACTATTTGTGAGATAACGTCCTTTTGGTGAAAGTATAGGAAAATAGACAACCGTTTTCAAGTTGTACAATGGCAACAAAAATAAGTCACTGCGGCGACCATACACTTACTTCAATACCAATATGGCAAAGAGAATGAGATACGGAAGCAGCGTCTTCGTTGTGGCCATTCTTCTCACAGTGACGTCTGAAAGAAATTAGATATGTGATGATTTAGCTATTATGTGCGTGACTATTTTGGGGTATACTACTTATCGTGTTTCTTGGCACGTTTTGTGATAAACAAAGGCATAATGCGATTTCGTATACAAATAGTGACTAATATGTGTGTAATAAGGTACCTTAGAGACTTATATATTTAGCAGCTCGTACATAAATAATGAGGTCTTCATGGTTTTAGCAAGTGCTTCGTTCTTAGTTATGGTGTGCAATAATTGAATCTTAGAACTAGATCAAATATTAGTCCGGTACTTGTCCAAGCGTTATCGTAATAAAGGAAGCATTTTCAAGCCAAAGCTACGATTACACGTATTGTCGAACTTAAACCAAGAAAGACTACGATTGCTTTTAACCGAGAAGTGGTGTTTAGGAGTTCAGTGAACTGGGCAAGCTGGCATTCGTTTAATATGTTACAGCGCGGAAAGAATGAGATAACTATGTTAAGGCACACAAATTACAATATGTAACACTGAATACCAGCGGAAAATTCTTACACAGTAAACGCGTTCATAAGGGGTAGGTCGACCATGCGCGCTTGCGTACACTTAACAGCGACGCAGATGATGCAAGAAAGGTTTATAACCTTCAAAGAACTGAACTGGATCTCATGCCCGTGTAAATACTATTGCAGTGAACCGGAAGTCTAGAAAGGGTATTTAGCTGTGGTGGAGGGGGATAGACGGCTGGTGGTTGCACTGAGTTTTCGATCTCATTTTTACGTTGAGAGCTCGATTACTGCTCTCGTTAGGGTATCCTTGTGCTTGTATATAACAGTGATTTGTCTGGAAAGAGCATAACAAGCACTGTCTTCACATTTCCTATGGTGTTCCACCAAATGGCAGCACAAAGCACTTTTTTCCAGATTATGCTCGTCAAGTCATTTGTTGAGGCACCAAACTGTCCGTTCCATATACTCTTCTTCACATGAAATGGGTACGTGATAAACAGCCGCTACTGTGCCGTTGATAAACCTCAGTTAATTGCGTTACCATGCATTCTCACTAAAGTTTGCTGATTTTCGTTTGAGCCCCCCTTCCTATACTCGCGCAAAACGCATACAGCTAACCGCTACTGCAGGTGTGCATCTGTTACGCTACTTCATTTGTGCGCATGGAGGATCCGACGTTACTTAAATGGTCGAAGGAGAGAAAGACGACAAGAAAAATGGACGGTAAGCATGAAATGTACGTGAATGCCACTTGTCTCCCATGTGTCATGCTCAATCGCATAGGCTAAAGAGAATAAAAACCATGATCAGAACGAAGGAGGTTTTTTCCGCGTAAGACAATTTGAGTCTGCCAATCCAGTGAGTCAAATTTTTGCGATAACCGAATCACACGTCCAGCGTGGCGAAATCAAATACACACATACACCTTTATTGGACACTGTTTCCGTATGATAGGGCAGTTTTGAATGCACTTCTCGGTGAAGATCCACAACACAAACATCACAGTCTTTGCGATGTTTCTCGCGGAGGGTCGGGACAGCAACAAGCAGATGCAGCGAATGAAGCTTGAGCTGTTGCAACAAGCAGCTGCTTTATGGTACAACTACCAACTTGATCGTCCTGTCAACTCCTGAGAACATTATAGTTGATGTAGCATTATTGGAACATGCACAGCGTGCAAATTGAATATTTAAATCTTTTACAAAGCTGCAGAAGTATATGAAAACTTGTTGCACTTTGGTGAAATTGCTACATGCATGTTGATATTTTGTGGGACGATGCACGTGTGTGCCTGACGAAGAGGAAGAAAGGTGCTCTCCGCTCGTTCGCTGGGGAATTGGTCATGCCATTACTGCTGGTTTTAAGTAAATTTCTTCCACGGCCTCGTCGATACGGCGTCGTGTTTTATTCGTAACATATTTGGGGGAGGTGGAACGTTCCCCGTCCTCACCACGAAGCTTCGCAGTGGCGGCACCGTTCCGTCTCCGGCCATGGCTGCCAATGACTACCCGCCAGCGTCTCCATCTGTAGCTCCAGCCACTACATACCTGACGATGCCCTACCCGCGTGATCCCGGTACATTCTCCGCATAACCTGGGCTTGACGTTGACTACTGGCTCCGCATGTATGAGCGTGTTAGCCAGACACACCGATGGGATCCTACCACGATGCTCGCAAACGTAATTTTTTACTTGGACGGCACCCCACGTGTTTGGTTCGACGCCCATGAGACCGAGATCACCAGCTGGAATATCTTCAAGGAACGACAACGCGACATCTTTGGGGACCCTTCTGGTCACCAAATGGAAGCACGAAAAGTACTCGCCACTCGAGTGCTGTCCTTAACAGAGTCGTATGTCTCGTACATACAGGACGTGCTAGCGTTGTGCCGGAAAGTAGACGAGCAAGTGCCAGAGAGTGACAAGGTGGGTCACATACTCAAGGTCATCGTGGACGATGCCTTCAACTTGCTCGTGTACACTAACGTCACGACCGTTGATGTGATTAATAAAGAATGCCGCCGCTTCAAAAGGGCCAAAAGCCGCCCTGTTCTGCCTCAATTTACGCGACTACCAAACACGGCTGCTACATCAACTTGCGCCGATTTCATTGCTACGCCACCCATGCAGGAGAACGTGACAGGTATTGTTTGACGGGAGCTTGAGGCGTCAAGTCCGGCGCCATTTCCTTCACTTCCACTCGACCATGGTGCCACACAAATGCCTCCGGCGGTCTGCGTTATCCAAGCCGTCGTGAGGCAAGAAATTGCAAAACTCGGTTTTCCTGTGGCCTGCTCTGTCTCCCGACCGATGACAATAAATGCACCGCCCCCGACTCATATTTTCTTCCGTGATCCCGCAATCCGACGGAATGGAGAACAGCAGACGACACGCCAATTTGCTTTCGCTGTCACCGGGTTGGCCATGTCTCCCCCTACTGTCGCAGTTATTGGACGCCCCACCCTTGCAACCAATTTTCTTCTTCTCCTCGGCCATACGCGGACCCCCGTCGGTATTCAGCCAGCCGTGATTATCCTGCTTCCGACGCACCTTACAGCCGCTCTACCTCTCGCTCACCGTCACCGCAACGCCCCAACCCCGCCGCTATCCGTCGCCGACAAACTACGAATCTCCCCGGACGGCAAACTAGATTATGCAGCTCTTGTAGGTAGTGCTGCATCAAGTGCGAGTGACCCACATCCTCAGTTGATGCTCCCTACTAATAAGAACTTGCTGAAAGTGCATGTAGACGGTCTTTCTTTGACGGCCTTAGTTGACACTGAAGCTCAGGTGTCGATCATGAGAGCTCGTCTCTGTCGCCGCCTCAAAAAAGTACTCACGCCTGCCCCAACACAATCCGTCCGTGTCACCGATGGTGAAAGTGTGGCCGCCATGGTAATGTGTACTGCACATATTATTCTTGCCGGCCGCCATGTTCCTCTTTTATTTACCGCGATCGACAATTGCTCTCATGATATCATCTTCGGGATAGACTTCTTATCGACGCATTCGGCACTGATCGACTGTTCCGCCGACACTCTCTGTTTAGAACTTCCTCTTCTTCCAGATTCTCGCCCCAAGATGCCGAAAAACCTCTGTACCACAGACTTCAGTCGGATACCGCCAAAAACTCTCATATTCATTGAATTTGCAACAAGTTCACCCGTTGTTGACGGTGAATATGTCGTCACACCCATTCCTGAGGTTCTTCTGGCGCGCGACATCACTGTGCCACACTCCGTCGTAACTATGGCTTCTAAACGAACATGTCTGCCCATTATCAATTTTGGTTTCACGCAGCAAGAGCTACCAAACGGAATTTCAGTCGCCACGCTTCGACCCTAATTAGACGCCCACGTCACCGCTTTTGCGGCAGACGCATGCTCCGATCGTCCATGTCACCCGCAGGACGCCACATCCCTCTATTCGGCCTTGCGCCCCATGATGGACCCGAAACTCAAACCTGACCAATCCGACGCCCTATTCCACCTTCTTGCTTCCTACCGCGACATCTTTGACACCAACGGCAGTCCACTCGGTCAGACTTCTGTCGTGAAACACCGCATTAATACTCCTGATTCTTCTCCCATTCACCGCCGACCATACCGGGTGTCTGCCACAGAGCGTAAAGTAATTCAAGAAGAAGTTAACAAGATGCTAGCCAATGGAATTATTGAACCCTACTCAAGCCCTTGGGCATCTCCCGTTGTGCTCGTTAAAAAGTAAGATGACACGTGGCGATTCTGCGTTGATTACCGCCATCTTAATCGAATCACGAAAAAGGACGTTTATCCTTTGCCCCGAATTGATAACGCCCTCGATTGTCTTCACGGCACGTGATACTTTTCTTCAATTGACCTACATTCTTGCTATTGGCAGATTGCGGTAGACGAGGAAGACCAAGAAAAGACTGCGTTTGTAACTACCGACGGCCTATACCAATTCAAGGTGATGCCATTTGGGCTATGCAACGCCCCAGCCACGTTTGAGCATATGATGTACTCGCTATTGCAAGGGTTCAAGTGGTCAACATGCCTGTGCTTCCTGGATGATGTCCTTGTATATTCGCCTACATTTGTGACCCACCTCCAGCGTTTGTCAGCGGTTCTCGCCATCTTCCGCACTGCTGGCCTTCAACTAAACTTGTCGAAATGTCACTTCGGCCGCCAGCAGATTATGGTGTTGGGCCACCTTGTCGACGCATCAGGTGTGCAGCCTGACCCAGAGAAAATTTGTGCCGTCACGAGCTTTCCTGTACCCCAGTCTGTCAAGGATGTCCGGAGCTTTGTGGGACTTTGTTCCTATTTTAGGTGGTTCGTGAAAAATTTTGCAACAATCGCTCGACCACTCACCAGCCTTCTAAAGAAAGACGTGACTTTTACGTAGGGTTCCGCTCAAGCTGCCGCTTTTTCTCAACTCATCACCCTCTTCACGACTCCACCTATATTGGCGCACTTTGACCCGTCCGCTCCCATAGAAGTCAGAACCGATGCGAGTGGTCACGGGATGAGCCATCCTAGCCCAACGCCAGCGGGGACACGACCGAGTCATCGCATACGCTAGCCGCCTTTTCACAGCTGTCGAGCCCAATTATTAAATAACAGAGCGTGAATGTTTTGCTCTTGTTTGGACCGTCACAAATTTTCGCCCATAATTATATGGCACGAGCTTCTCTGTAATAACGGACCGCCATGCGCTATGTTGGCTTTCGTCACTGAAGGATCCTACTGGCCGGCTCAGGCGCTGGGCTCTGCGACTGCAAAAGTATACCAACACGGTAACGTACAAGTCCGGACGCCAACATCAGGACGCAGATTGCCTGTCCCGCTACCCGGTTGCTGAGTCGAGCTCTATGCCTGACACCGACACCGAGCCTTGCGTCTTTTTCCTTTCGAAAATGACATGCATCAGTGATGAACAGCGCCATGATGCGTCCTTGCGTGCTATCATTGAGCGCCTCGAATCACGATCTTCCGATCAGTCCTATCGTTTATTCGTGCTCCACGATGGTGCATTATACCTCCAAAGTTTTGAGCTGGATGGACCGGCCCTGCTGCTTGTGATTCTGAAACACCTTCGCTCGGAAGTTCTACGTGAACTTCATGACCTTCCGACTGCTGGTCACCTTGGTGTGTCACGCACTTACGACCGAATGCGTCGACGCTTCTTTTTGCCAGGCCTTGCACGCTCAGTCAAAAGATACGTTGCGGCTTGTCAGAAATGACAGCGCCACAAAACACCATCGACACTTCCCGCCGGATGCCTTCAACCACCTGACATTCCGTCAGAACCGTTCTTCCGCGTTGGCTTGGACCTACTTGGCCCTTTCCCCTTGTCTTCCTCGGGTAACAATTGGATAGCCGTTGTCACCGATTACGCCACGTGTTATGCGATCACACGAGCTCTTCCGACAAGCTGCGCCACAGATGTCGCCGACTTCCTCTCCAAGGACGTGATTTTGCAACACGAAGCCCCAGGGCAGCTGCTTACAGAACGTGACCGCACCTTTTTGTCGAATGTCATAGCCGACGTCTTGCAGTCCTGTCAAACGAGACACAAGCTGACTACGTTATACCACCCACAAACCAATGGACTAACGGAGCGTCTAAATCGAACTCTTACAGACATGCTCGCTAAGTATGTTTCTACCAACCATACAGACTAGGATCTCGCGTTGCCGTACGTCACATTTGCCTACAATCCTTCTCGCCGTAACACTACCGCCATTTTTTCTTTTATTTGGCCGAGAACCTACATTACCCCTAGATACAGTCATTGCGTCTACCGCGACACCGACCAGCGAATATGCCCTTGACGCTATCACTCGGGCTGCCAACGCACGTGAAATCGTCCACACTCGCTTTCTGGCCTCTCAAGAGAACCAGCGGCGTTTGTACGATCAACGGCACCGCGACGTGCACTTCTTACACGGTTCATTGGTGCTGCTGTGGTCCCCGACCTGTCAAGTTGTCTTGTCGGAAAAACATCTTTCTCGCTACACAGGTCCATATCGAGTTCTTCGTGAAATTACTCCTGTGACATACGAAATGACCCCTGCTGCCCCATCGCCTTCAACTGCCTCACAGAGCACCGATATCGTACATGTGGCACACTTGAAGCCTTACCTTTCTCCAGCGGACGTTGACATCTAAATGCGCCGAGACGGCGCTTCTGCCTCCGGGGATTTTGCTACATGCATGTTGATATTTTGTGGGATGATGCGCGTGTGTGCCTGGCGAAGAGGAAGAAAGGTGCTCTCCGCTTGTTCGCTGGTAAACCGGTCACGCCACTACTGCTGCATTTAAGTAAATCTCTTCCACAGCCTCGTCGATACGGCGTCGTGTCTTTTTCGTAACAATATAAACAATTGGTACACAATTTTTTTCATTAGCTGTGAAAAATGCAATAAACATTTCTACATATATATATTGCCATGACATAGGCAAGCGTGCGAGAAAATCAACAAAATCTGCATCAGTTGAACCTCGAATCACTACGTAGGCATTACACAATTCTATTCTCTTGAGTATATTGTGGGTGCATTTAAACTTTCATAGTTACAAATATCAGCAAATATTCTTTACTCTAAAAAAGTGACACTGCTGTCTCTAATTTTCGAACAAGTTTTACGTAATTCTGAATTGTCAATAAATCGCAGCGATATAAGGCATACACTACAATCAAACGCCTGTAATACTCGATATAAATATTGTTGACTGGTTTCTAGACCACACATCGCCGGGAAAGCACCTCACCTTGTCTTACATTTCAAATACTCTGTCGGGAGCGAGGTCAACAAATTGATATCCTGGTGAGCAGGAGAACTTAACAAAGTGCTGGTATCAAATGTGGCTCTCTTTTCCTAAGATTGTTGAACAGCTTCTAATGGCCTCACGCGAGTCCTTTTATACTGTCAAATGGGAAATCAGCTAGCTCGAGTGTGTGTTTGATTGGCTTTGCCACTCACGTGAGGTCTGCGTAGTTGAACATGGTAGTATAATGAAGCTGAGATTTTATATTAAAAAAATCACATGCCATTGACCAGAAAAACCACTTTTACACCAAAAGAAAGTGTGAACTTCGGCAAGCATTTAGTTAACAGTTTCATCTAAAGCCGAAATGGTTGATCCGGAAGGAGTAGCTACTTCCCTGCTATAAGATCTACGTCATTTTCATTAAAAGATGTGTGAAAAATATGAAGAATGGGCATAAAGGGACCGTTTCATTCAATTTTTCTTCTTTGCTGCAGTTTTCAATTTGTGTTATTTCGAGTGTATAGTTCCCAACCGGACGTTCCTTTTGATGTTCAATCAGTTATGCTGTGACATTCTTCTAAAACAAAAATTTCATGAGCCATTCCACCTTGACAAAAAGGATGGCCGGTGAAGCAGTGCTGGTCACGATAAAGAGGTGACAATGACTGTTTCTGAAACGCTCAGAAATAAACGTAGATTTCATGAAAGACACGAAATGCTAGAGTAAGTTCTTTTTGGATGTCGTGTTTGAACTTTTCACGCTTTATATCCGAGCTCTGTACTACAATATGCGACATCTACAGTCTAGATCACCACATGCGTTCGCTGTTTCGTGTACAATCTTGGAGAATTATTTGAGTATCATACGTGTTGCCGCATTCTCTGCTTCACGAATCTTCAATGGAGCAGTGATGTGCGGTGGCGTTTGGCCAATTTTACAGTACATATGCATTAGTCCACGCAGAAGGTGTTTATATTGAGATAACCAGTGGAGCACAGTTGGGTTTTAACTTGCTTGCTTGTTTGTCTCACTGATTTGGCTCCTATCAACTACGGGGGATTGATCATCAGACTAGCGGTTCCTATAAAAGGAAGTTCTTTATTTTGAAATTGATGAGGGAGGGAGTCGATCGCCACAAGAATAAACAAGTTTTCGGGGATGATTTGTTTAAAATACAAATACCTTCGATGAAAAACAATTCACTAACGAAATGAATTATATTGTATTTAACTTTGATAGGTTTTAATGTTAACAGGGAACTCTTGCTTGTCATCTTCCTTACCCAATTCTCATATTCCTTACTGACCCGTTGAACAGTATAGTGAATATGAAGAAAAAAATAATACAGAAAAGTAAGCACATCTACAATCCGAGCCAAAACCACACAGAGAGCTACTGTAAAAGTTGTGTAATATGTTTGTAAATGTAGTTTCTCTTTGAGCCGCATTTCAGTATGGGAGTGCCTCATAGTAACGGCATTATCCATGCGGAAACACGCGAACATTGTGGTAAATTTTAAAAAATATTTTAAAGGCTATCTTCGCGTAATTCAAATGTTTTAACTCATGTACGTGAGTCATCTTATGTTTACTTGAAACAAGTAGGTTTCGTAATGAAAAGTTTGCTGGCAAAGCGAGGCTTTATTTATGTCCAGTACTCTGAACACCAAGATGCATGTTGGTGCACATTGAACTAAACGGGGAGGAAGAAAGCAAAAGGAGAGGTGGTGTCACATTAAAGTCTTCAAGCTCAGCCATAAAATTAAAGCTGGGTCATGCTGGGAACCTACCGAACGCATGATGCACGAGGAAGGAGCGGCGTCTGATGAAGTTGATTGTGAATGTTAGGCACGCTCCCTTCTATGTATTTTTCTTTTCTTTGTGGTGCTGAATGCAATTTTCAACAGCTAACCATGGAAAACATTTTTTCTCGTTTCAATAGAAACATTGCTCATGTTTCATAAGACAATTAACCTTTTGAGAGGGCCAAAGCAGCATCTTTCAATGAAGTTATCAGAGTGTATGTACCCAAATGTGCAATAAATGAATCCCACCGTCTAGTATACTGAACATGGTTCTTCTGTGAAAACCGGTTCACTTGCTGCCTTCTTTATTCTTAGCATGCTTTTCATCGGCCTCTTGACTAGAGAAGAACTATATAAACTTTCGTTCTGCCGTATAAAAAAAGTTAAGTTCCGAAAAGGATATGGGTGGGAAGGCTTACCAAATCCCGTGGAAGATGCCCCGAAAGAAAGCACATTTTGTGAATACAGAATAATTTTTCCATTTCTCAAGAACTTTTAAAAATGCGTTTTGCCCGGCTGAAAAGAAGGCACGTTGCCAATAATTTCACTAAAGCGCCACAGCCAACCACCTAATTTTTAATGAACGGTGGTTTATAGTTGGCGTTGTTGAACTTTGGGAACGCATCTCCGCACATACATTCCATATTATGTGATGCACTTATCAGCATGGAGCAAGTTCAATTGACGCCCCACCGCGGTGGTCTAGTGGCTAAGGTACTCGGCTACTGACCCGCAGGTCGCGGGTTAGAATCCCGGCTGCTGCGGCTGCATTTCCGATGGAGGCGGAAATGGCGTAGGCCCGTGTGCTCAGATTTGGGTGCATGTTAAAAAACCCCAGGTGGTCAAAATTTCCGGAGCCCTCCACTACGGCCTCTCTCATAATTATATGTTGGTTTTGGGACGTTAAACCCCACATATCAATCATCATCAAGTGCAATTGTCGGTACAATTCTCTCGAACAAGTTAATTTTTAGACAAGGGATGTTTGGGGGTCTTGGAGAATGAATTTAACGCATATTTGTAGTGCGCGTGTTCAATTTATGTGGTACAAACTGCATCAGTGTTTTGCTGCGAACAGACGGATGTTTCACCGAGGCATATACATCGCTGTAAAATGAGTTTCAGGTACCGTAAAAAGAGCTACGCACATTAACTACAGAAGCACAACGGCTACGACTCTTGATGTCTAAATAAAAACAGAATTGTCTTTACATGACGAGATTCACTGCTGTCACAGCTGCGTGTGTCCAAGCGTGTGGTTTGTGGCTGATATATAGTAAAGTAGTGTGGTCCACTAAACTAGAGTACCGTATTGAAAAATGGTAAGGAAACTACGAAGTACTTTTTCGTAAAGGTAGAAGTATCAGGTATGGATGGAAACACTAACGAACTTGTAAGAGAGACATTAAGACAGCTTTCCAATACGCGAACACATGTTGCTTGAGTGCATTAAGAAAGAACGTCACAAGAGTGGTTAAGATCAACGGGTCGTTGCGGTATGTATCAGGGTGTTTGCAAGCGTGCTTTGTTCCGAGAAGTGCCGTGATTTGCAATCCGAAATTCACTAAAACGACTATTAGAGCGTGGAATTTATGATCCCGTTTGTGGATTTCGTGCCCTCTGTATGCGTAGCCGAATAAACGATTGGCGAACAACAGGTTTATTTAAAGCCACACGTTCTTTAACGTTTGCCTCAAGGTAAGTACACGAATATTAGGCTGGGCTAGGTGGAAGTGATAATGGTTAACCTTGAAGCACCGCGTAAAAGTTATTGATGAATAAAGGGAACTCAGAAGTCAGCACATTTTGGTCCCCTTATATAGGGTGCGAAAGCCTGTGTGTATTTTAGGTGTTTTTAGCGCTAACGCGGTCACCAAAAGTGACACTGTAAGGTTCAGTTACTCGTGTACTATAGTGTAGACGTTCAACAACGCTCAGATTATTGACAGCTAACTATCGCTAATATTTTACTGCCGGAGTCACTAACTTTTTTTCGATTATTGCTCTTCGTGCATACTTGTACTTTAAATGTTACGTAGACACATCAACTCTAGATACATTGCTTAAAGTGTCTCTAAATGACTACCTTTCATGATTACCACTATCTTTCCTTGAAAAGACAGGCTTGTCATGACTCTTAAAAATGCTTATTCCTGAAAAGTGACGTATATATGGTAAGTATGATGTTACTGAAAAGCGCGTTAGGCAATATTTTCTTCATTAGAGTGTACAAAGGACACTGAATATGTAGGTGCCTTGAAAAAGTAGAAGCTTTAAGAAAGTACCTGATTTCGGAAGAGTATTTTGTGATTTTGCTAAAAAGCAAAGTGATATGTTATCTGTAACACTCTCTAAAATTGCAACCAATAATGGCCATGACAATCCATAGTTTAGGACTGAAAAACATTAATCAGAATCATATTGGTTCCCGGATCATCTCTGTAGTAAAACAAACGTTTGGAAGGCTTAACATGAGGTCTCAAGCAGCTACTTTAATTATTTATCAACACAGAATATACGCTAATTGTCATTGCATTTTCATATCAAAAGTGTAACAAAAGTTCTTTTAGAGTGTGTGTGTGTGTGTGCGTGCGTGCGAGCGAGCAAGCGAGCGAGCGCGCGTTAGTGTGAGTGTAGGGAGAGCGCAGGTGTGTTTGTGTTCTTCGCACACATAATAGAAACCTCCTTTTTACAGCATAGTTCATATACTTGCTTGACATGGTTATCCTTACTGGTGAGGATGCATATTATTAGAATGTCGAAACTAAACACTATTTACACGACTAGTTACACGCACACTGATCCACAGGCACCATTCAATGAAGCTTTCGATTAGTGACATAGGCATGAACATGCACAGTCTGTCGAGTTCAAGCAGCTAAAATGTGTGTCGCCCGACAATCAGCGAATACAAACCTCTCGTTTGCGGCCGCCAACATCGTGAATCTCTTGTTTCATATTCACTCGCAAATCCCCATAAAGACGAAGTTGATGACGTGCGCGTCTGGCAGGACCACTCATGTTTTAAGCCACATTTACACTATAGGAATATACAAGCAAAAACATCCGAACTACACATGAACTTCATTTTTATGAGAAACACCAAATGCTGAAATTCAGTTTGAAGAGAACGTGGTATGGTAGCAACGGAGGTAAACATTATTCTTTAGAGGCAAACTATTCGAAATTGACCCACCAACAATCTACGAAGCACAGCCTCTGTGAGCAGCACGGAAGCGCGATTTTCGAAATACCATATTTTTGTAAATTTAGTCAATTATGACGCATAATCTGTGAACACAATTTATTCTTATAGAAGAGAAATGTTGTCATGCAAGTAACGGCTTATGCGAGAAATATCACGGGAAATAAAAGGCCATTGTGTGGCACTATCTTCGCTTTCTGGTTGTTGACCTTATATACTACGTTCATTTTCCGCATGCGACGCGGGAAGAAACTTATGTGTTCACAAAAGCTGTCATTTTTTTCGGGGTTTGGTTAGTGGTGAGGCTGGAGACGACTACTTTTTGTTTAAGTCTAACCTAACTATCACCTGTTGACGGAAAGTTGGGGGACTTTCCTTATAAGTGACCTCTCGTTCAACTACCCAGACGTTTTGACTAGGCAGACGCATATTAAATCTAGGCTATCGAACCCTACAAACTAAAAAGCCAGGCGGAAGCTAAGTCAACCTGATCTCCAAGTTTAGAAGCCGTTCTGACGCTTATATTGATTTCATTTTGCACAAAGGAAGCGTAAATGGTACATTAGTTTTCTTCTTTAAAAATGTTAATAAAACCCAAGGGCTTTAGAAACTCCACAAGCGAACTTACGTTTGGGAAAGGTGAAACAGCGACAATGGTGATATGTACAGCAGCACACATTCGCGCTTCACAGACACGTGTGCTTTTGAAAGAG